AATTCATTAGAAAAATAAAATTATTTCTCAATTGATATATTTATATGTAATGTAGTTATATATTGTAAGTTAAAAAAAAAAATTAGTATAATATAACACAAGTAAGTTGCATAAATAAAAAGTGTCATAATAAATATATAATAATATATATATTCTTATAAAAGGTGTTTAAATTTTCAAACTACTTTTTCTCATTAATTTTAGATTTTAAGAAAAAAAAAATTAGCAAACACCCGTGTAATACACGGGTGTTGTACTAGTTTCATCTTTATTGCACATTTACAACTATTATATTCTTATTAGCAAAGTAACTAAAATTATCATATTATTTGCATATATACTAGAAGTTGGTTTTGAATAGGTAACCATCTATTATATGGTTTGAATTGGTATCTCTTCTACCTCTCTCTATCTCTATCTTTTTCCGTTATCTTTATCTCTCTCTCCTCCTCATCTCTCCTTCTCTTCTTCAAACGCCATATCCATGGAGAAAACTCGTCTCGACGCGAAAATTTTCGTTGGCCTCATCTCTGTCGCTGACCCATCATGTGGAATCCCAGTCAAGCCATGAGAAGAAAAGCGACATGAAATTTAGGCACACTTTGCCTTAAATTAACAGCCCGTAATAAGGATTTCTTCTAGACTAAAGATGTGCTGAATATATAGAAATATATTCCCCATCTTTTTATTTTTTTTCTTTTTGTGAATTTTCTTCTAGATTTGCTGGGAGATTTTTTTTTTCTCTTCATCTATTTTTTGGCAACGAGTTAAAAAGGATTATCTTATCTCCTTTTCGACAACAGAGAGGATCATCGATCAAAACAACAAAAAGAAAAAAGAGAAGAAAAAACTGAAGAAAAAAGAACGTGGTGGTTTGTTATGGTGGTCGGGTCATCGTGGCTGACAACCGGAGGCCGCGGGGGTCATGCCGTGGTGGCTATAACGGTCGCTGGATTGGTCAGACGTGGGCCGGAGGAGAGCTCGCGGCTGAAAAAATAAATTGATTTCTGAAATTCGAATTTGTGGTCTAATGTCTTTTCTATATATCTTCTGTATATATTTTGTATATATTGACAAACATTGATTTATCTTTTGTATATCTGTTGTGTATTTTATTTATTCCTCAGTATATAATGACTATATCTTTTATATATAAGTTTCATTGTGTATTTTGTATGTATTAAACCAGAAAATATACTATAAATATACAGAAAAAAACACGAGATGTAAATAACAAAAAAATAAACAAAAAGAATTTCAAAAATAAAAAATTCTAGGTTTATTCTGTATATTTTTTGAACTTATATGTATATGTTTTGTATATATTCTGTATAAATGCAATATATACTGGAAAAAATAAATAACACATTTAAAAAAACCGAATTAAGGTACTATATTTGTATTGCGTCCAAAAATAATTAAAGGACGGTTAGTAGGGTATAACAACATCCTAATTAGTAGGTATACAAACTTACCATATTTTTATTTTTATTTTTTTTTCTTAGTGCAAATCTTATACTCTTATTCATGCGCAAATAAAGAGACAATTACCATCTTTATTTGGTAATTGATATAATAACTGATATTTCTTAGTAAAGATGCAAATAAAATCTTACCTCTTGTACAAGTACAAATACTTTAAAATGAGTAACGTGTAAATGCAAATTACCCGTGGCCACACTAATTTTGGGAATAGGTGATACAGGCCTCAAAATTGTGATCATGATCTCTTGACCCACAACAATTACTTAGCCCGTTTATAATATATTAAAAGCCCACATAGAGCTGATGTTCCGTAATTGTCGCCTCCTCAACAGCAAATAAGCTCACTCCGCAATCGCTTCTCTGTGTTGAAACAGCCACAAAAATGGGTCGGAAAAAGGGAGTGCATCTGGTGCACGATGGGCCGCCGGACGACTTCGATCCGGAGAACCCCTACAAGGATCCGGTCGCCATGCTCGAGATGAGGGAACACCTCGTCAGGGAGAAGTGGATCGACATCGAGAAGGCCAAGATCCTGAGGGAGAAGGTCCGCATGTGCTACCGCATCGAGGGGGTCAACCACCTCCAGAAGTGTCGCCACCTCGTTCATCGCTACCTCGACGCCACCCGCGGCGTCGGCTGGGGCAAGGACCACCGCCCCCACGCCCTCCACGGTTGGTTTTTCCTCTCGTTCTCTCCTCGCCGGTGTGTTTATTGAGATCTATAAATCATTTTGATTTTTTATATTCCGCAAATTTTTTTCAGGGCCAAAGGTGGTGGAGACGCCTGCTGAGTGAAGGGGAGATCCAGGGTTGGGAATAAATTTGAGGTCCTCTCTCTCTCTCTCTCGATTCCCTTTAGTCTAATTTTGAGTTGATGTGGTTGGAAGATTTAAGTTTTGCTGAGCTTTTTTATATTTAATCATTTCATTATGTGAGTAGCAGCTTGTCTCAGTTGTGTTATTGCTTCTTATAGTGCCTATTGGCTTTGGAGATGAAAAGTATACTTCAAAAAGTTTCATGGAAGTTAGTAGCCATTTGATAACACTGGCTTCAGTGTTTTTCTCCAAATATGCAAGCATCATTCGTTCCATCAATATCGCATACAGGGGTCATATGCTATATATATTCCTGATTCTCTATCTATTTGCTTGGCCCTAATTGAATACTATGATATACAGATATATCATCCTCCAAAAATATTTAGGACTCCAGTTATGCTTATCATGCAAAGTAATGTCTTTGGGTGATCGTATGACAGAACGATTTGCGCGTGCAAATATTTTGTGTAATGTCCTTAGTCCTCTTACAATAGCATGATAATGACAATCCTAGGTTATATGTGGCATTTCAAGCACTTGGTTTCACTCTCTTGTTGGTAATCTTTTCCGTAGTCGACAAATTTCCAGTTCCCTATTCGCTGATTTGTTGATTGATAATGATACGAATTTTCAAACGAGCTTCTCTTTGTTGAGTACAATTAGTTTGATAAACTCAATACAAGTGATTGGCCTCTCTTTTTAAAATTTCCGATGAATCCTTTAGTGCCCTATAGGCCCCCTCCAGAGAGAAAATGAAAAAGGACATACTTCAGTACATGTACACTAAATATTGTCTTCTGAAGATGATGGTATGCAATTGACAATAACTCTATTTGTTTATTTTGGTTTTCTTCCCTGCAGGTAACCGATTGTACTGCAGGATAGTGTATGTGGAGAATTTCTGCATGTTAATCAGGTGTGTTCATTGGCTAGTAGCCTTTATCTTTGACAAGTGTTACTCTGAAATGTATGCCTTTAGTTTGGTCCAGACATTTGAGGCTGTGTGGTAAACCCCACTTTTTAACCTCTGGCTTTCTGTACTTTGTGAAAGTGATGAGGGCTTCATATGAAATAATCAAAAACAGAATGATGTCTCTAATTCTTTTCTATCATATTCTTGTTGTTGGTGAGTGGTTATTGTGCTCCTTACATTTTCTAAAAGGGTAAATTTAGGCTACGACAATGAGTGTAGTTGAGTTCATATTTTGGATTCAGACGGGTTCTTATTTTTACTTGATGGCTCTTGGAGCTGTTCTAATGATTTTGTTTGGGTCAGTGACTCGAATAAGAACGGTGGATGGTTGTGATTAAAGAAGTATATATATGCTCATCTAGGTTAAAGATTGACTGAATAACTGTGTGCACTGTGATTGTGTGACTTTGTTAATAGATTTTTTGTACTTGGCATTAATAGTTCTAAAATTACTGAGTTTCGACTTAGTTGCCATAAAATTTCGTGTCCTCGCATTTGACATTACACTTCTAAATTGGTCCATAATTCAGAAGATAAGTGAAAAATTATTCTTGATCTAGTGAGCTTAAAATAATAAATTTATCCTTGATACCAATGAGAAAATTAAAAGAAAGTAAGTTACGAAAGTGAACTAAATTAAAATAAAAAAATAGAAAAGTAATTTCATCTTTAACAAAGATGGGATTTGTGGACTGAAAAGTGCCCTAATTGTACTTTTAAATAATATAACAATTTAACAATTTAACTTTGTCTTTATATGTGAATCATGGACCTCAATTTGATGTCTCTCTTCTAAAGTGGCATATAATACTAGATGCGCAGATTATGTATTTATTATTGTAGACCGAAAAATTGAGGTTCTAAGTTTGTATATATTGTTTATAGTCTTAATGCCACTAACCTATACAAAGAATGTAAATAATCTAATTTTTTAATGATATATGTATAAGCTAAATTTTGGTGAAGAAAACTATATTAATTTTCTTGGCAAAGGTACACTTCAAGAGGCGATGTAAGTTGTTGAGGGGAAAGAACGTGAAATTTTGCATTATGCATGCGTTGACAAAAAAGATGAAATTGTTGAATTGCAAAAACTTGGGAATACAAAGAAAAGAACAAAGTGGAGATGCTGTGGAGTTATCTTTCTCCTTACTTCATCTCTTTCAAATCACACAATCGCTTGAAATAAACTAAGGAAATGCTAGGTAAGCAACTATTGGAAGGACAAATGGAAAAAGAGGTGGTTCGTTAGGGGTTTTGATATACTAAGAGCATTTGCTTTGATATAGTTGGACTTAAGCTTTAGGTGACATGGATAGAACCAAGTAAAAAGAATAAAAACATTCCAATCAAAGAGATCGGGTCTCAGGTCTCTGCTTATGTCTAAAAGTAGACTTAAGATTAAAACGAGTCTCTTTTTACTGCCACATCAGCTAAACATGTCCACTTTATTGGGTCTGTTTTTTAAGTGACACATAACTTGTCAAAGCACTGTGAATGTTCTAGAAGGTGTGAAAACTCCATGTATGAGGTATGATAGATAAGTATTGTTTTTACCTTTTATATCTCATAAATCAACCTCCATTTTGGTAATGATAGTTATACCTTTTTGACTAACTATAGTTGATTCTTTATCGTTCCCTAAATACCTATATTTTCGAAGCTATTCCCATTCCCTCGTAAAACTAAGTTTCTGTAAACTTCACTAGAAAATCACTAGAAATGAAATCTCTAATCCACTCATCAAATAAATATAAAATAGGCAATGGAAATTAATTTCCATTTTCATATTTGAATTTATTAATCTTGTGCCCAAAACGTTGCATCGTATCATACGTTCCAAAAGTACGAAATTGCTCGCCCACCGACTGTGGGCACATTAAAATGTGTCAACTAGCCACGTGTCAAGATTTCATGTAATATCAACACCATCGGGTCTATATTGAAATGCTAATCTCGTGCCACGTCACTATAACCCCAAAAGAACTAGATTCATAAACAACACATCAGTTGGTGGTGGACATATTAACTGGTGTCCACTGTGGGCAAGAGAGTGAAATTGAAATACGGAAGCTTTCATAAAAAACATTGTAGATTAGTTTTCTTCCCAAGTCCATTCTTCCTCCACACTTAATTGTGTTCCCCTCATTACGAACATGACTCTTTTCAATGTGCTTTAATCTCACACACTCACTCACTCAAGCGCTTGAGAGTTTCTCAAAAGCAAAAACGCATAATGTTGGAATTTTTGTGGACTGCATGCTAGAAAAGAATGCACTTTGTTAGTATGAGTTCAACGCATCAAATTCAAATCTGTTGAGCCTTTCCTGCTATGGCTCCAGGGTATTATTACATCATCAACTATTTTTCCTGGTTCGAAAAAACAAAATCCATTGAAGTCAATATATTGAGGATATGCCCCCTCTGATATATTTAATTCAATTGAGATGTTAATTAAATTACCCTCACGAGTTGTTGCTGATTTATATTTCAAGGACTAGGAGAGATTAATAAAGGGAAAAACTACCTCCTTTTTATTATTATCGCCGATAACAAGATGGCAAAGATTGTGTAATTTTGACAAATTTCTAGCAATTGCCCATCACTAGTGTGAACGTGCAATTTATTATATAAGTGGTTTTGTGGCATTGGGTGGACGAGCGCAGAATGGTAAGTTGATTGATGTAGTTAAAACCATGAATCATCATGTGTGTATCTTGTGATTAGTTAACTAGTGCAAGAAGTTGTTGTTACATTACACGAGTGTTTGGGTTAACGAAGTGCGACTACACCTAGTTATCATTTATACATTGCTATTGTTAATGTATAATCTATGAATCTCCCTGTGGTGTCCAGATTTGTGAACTTGTAGTATCTTCTTTCATGGAGATTTGAATTGTTGCATAGATTTATGGTTGATAAATTTGAAATTCATTCTTAGGCATATCTTAATTAAAACTGCTGAGCTCGGCAGCACCATTGATGGTATCACAACAGAAATCGAACATGTTACTTTCATTAAGGGTGGCTTTACGTAATATTTTGGCAATTTGCCTCTGATGATACAAGAATTTCATTTCTGTGCATCTTCAGGTTTCTCCATTCTGTAGTTCCTCTGCCTTGCATCATGTTACCCTGCCTTTGATATTTCTCTTTCCTGCATTTACCAGTACATTATTTCACAGGTACATGTGGAAATAAAAGCAGAGAAAGTGAGATTTAAAACAGAATAAGCTAATATTGAATTTGATTTGTGTGAGTGTCCTTACGAAGGAGGAGCTCCCTTCAGTCCAATTAGCGGGCAAGGCAAACACGGAAGGAGTTGCTCCCGCCTCATGCAGTGGTTGCAACTTAAAAGCTTTTTTTTCTGAACGTATTTAAGTGTAACCGGAAGCATGAGATGGCAGCTCTACCCGATTCTCGGCCCTCCATCTTGGACTCAAAGGAAACTCCTCTATTTACACACAAAATGCGGATCTCAGTCGCGTTTGGTGAAAAAATCCCTACGTCTTATGTCTACGCAAGTAGAAAGACCAACGTTGACATGATTGTGGTTGACATATAAAGAAATGACTGTAGGTTTTGGCGATCGTTTTTCCTTTGGGGGAAAGGGTGATTTTAAGCGAGCTTTCCTCTATTGATCTCTGTGTCGTGAGCGTGTA